TTCATTTCCTTTTTCCTGATCACGATTCAAATACAATAGAAGGAAATCACATTTAAAGAGACAGCTGCCCGCCCCCTCCCCTTTTTTTCTTCCTTTTTTTTTTTTTTTAAACGGGGCTCCTGGGGATTAGCAATCCAAACAGCAGCCGCAGCAGCACTGACTTGGCTTCTTAAAGGGGCCCGCGTCGGAGAACGAGAGTCTCCCCTGAGCACCTCTCCAGGGGCAAGAAGCCGGGCTACCACTAAATTCGTCCTTCTCAGGGTTCCCCTTCTTCTGCCTTTCCCTTTAGTTTCAGGCAGAAAGTAGCTACCTGGCCAGCTCCAGCGGGAAAGAAAAGATAAGAATGTGAGATAGGCACCTGCGGAACTGCAAGCGTTCCTAGTGGCTGGCTCGCGCACGTTCGTCTAGGGTTCGAGGTCCCAGGTCTACGGTCGCAGTGCTCTGGGATGCCTGGGACAGCACAGCTCTGCTGGCGGCGAGCTAGTGGCTGCGTCTGCGCTCCAGAGAGCGCCGCGAGCTGAGCGATCAGGCACCTCACGCGCCGGGTGCGCCTGAGCAGTGCTGGGGGCAGCTAATCCCGCGGGGAGGGTGGCTGGGAGGGACCACACTGTCGGGTCTCCTCTCCATCTGTTGGCCCCAGAATTCCCTCCCTCAGCATCTTTCAAAGAGCGGACTCCAGCGGTTAGGTTTGCCCTCTCTGTAAAGTGCCAGCAATACTCGGACCAGACGAAGTGCTTTTCCAATGATCAAGGACCTATTTTGCCCTATATAAAAGCAAAGAAAAAGGCAGGCTTGATCTGGGTTTCAGGTTTCTCCTCCAAGCTTGAAGGCAAGTTCTAGAAGGAGAAAGAAATGCAGACGGGAAGAAGAGGACTCTAACTAGCTACTTTTCCAGGGAGGAAAACTTGAGTTTCCCTGACCCTTGACTTCCTTGAAACTGGGTTTAGAAATGATTGGTCAAGGCTTGTTAGCTTATGGTGATGCCACTCTTGAAGCTTGCAAAGAGGAAACTCTCAAGTGCTTTTAGAGTCCATTGTTTTATCAAGGCCATAGGCATTTCACCCCTATTTTAAAGATTCTTTTTGCAGCCTAGATCAACTCACCCTGGAAGATGACTGCTGAAGTCAGAAGTGAATTCCTGGATGCTTAATGTGCTCATACGGAGCCAAATCCGCATTGATCGCTCACTAGTAATAACCTGACTCACTACCCACAGATTCAAGTCATCTTCTCATCGCCAAGTCCTGACGTTTGTGAACTGAAAGAAGATAATTAAAATCTGTGTCTGCGTGCATGCCCTCGTGTTGATCCAAAACCCACCTTCCGTATATAAACAGTTTCCCATTTAGATTCTTGTTGTTTTTTTTTTTCTTGTCATTAAAAACAAAACTCTCTACAATGTTTCGGCAAACCTAAACTGTGTGATAACTAGGGAACCTGTTGTTCTACTTTCATTTCTGTCTGAAGTGGAATGAAGATTGGTGGGAGGGGCATTGGCCAGGAGACTTTCCTTGCTCCGATTTTCTACGGGGTTGGAGTTAGTTATTAAAATAAATATCTCCGTGGGCTCCAAGAGGTAACTTTGGAATGACCAACTCCAGGGCATAAAGATTCTTTTTAATAAGATGCCTCTGCTTTGACCTGAGTGTGTTAAAGGGAGAAGGTGTGCATGAGACTTTGGGTCAACTTCTTATCTTTCACAACTCTTTGGGGAGAACCTTCTTCAAGAAGGTGCCTATTTGACATGATATCTTAAGATTTCAATTTCACACACAGTGGCTGTAAGAAATTACTGCCTACTGGTGGGACTTCATTCCTACTCTATGGGCAATTAAGTCGCCCAAATTTAAGTATAACATTTAGAATCAAGTCTCAAAATGTGTTTTTATTATGACTGACGTTAAAGCAACCATGACCTCATCATATCTTCCTGCAGTAACCAGTAACTGGAGAGATCCAGCAGGGCTGAGCTGTAATGTCTCCTCCACCCTCAGAAATATTAAATATCCTGAAGTTTAAGCATTTTCCAAGTTTTCCTTCTAATATAAGAATGTCAGAAGTCTGAATCAGTCCTAATGAAACTTGTGACCCCAGTTGGATTATATTTTTTTTCTCACTGGGAATTTCATTTTTTCACTCTCTCTTCTTAGTACATTTACAATTATCTTTCAGGGAAAAGAGTCTCAAGTGACTATGACTACATTTCTTTGCTAGAATGGACTTCTGCTCAGAAAATGCCAACCATAACAATTTACTTCCCCCCCCCTTTTCAACATTAGAAGCTGAGTTACAACATAGATCTTATTAGTTGTGACGGTCACAAAAATAAAGCTTTCTTTTTAATATGGGTTCGGCTCACACGCAAAGTTCTTAAAACTTTCAGTTGCCATGGGTTTCTGACCTACATTGTCCAAAGATGGCTGAGACTCGGGTACCATCGGATACCATCGGGTACCATCGGGCACTGTGGGAGGAGCTGAGCTGAGACTCCAGCATTTCGAACTCATTTGGAAACATTTCAGGGCCAGTTGGTTATGTCAGTAACCCTAGTGATAAACAAATCAGGTTTTGTAGGAACGAGGCTCAAATATATCTTTTTTAAAAAGTGTTGTTTTTTTTTTTTTTTTGTTTTCTGTTTTTAATCCCTATCAACTGAGTCTTGGGAACTGACACAGGAGTTAGGTAGACAGAACTCTGATGTATGGTTTGGGGGAAGTTACTTACTTTCTCTGTCACATGGAAGTTCCATAAAGAAGTTCCATAGGGGATAGAGCAGGGTCAGTGTCGCGGGGTTGCCTGTTTCTCTTACAGGAGTTTTTGGTGGGGTAATACGTGCAAAAATGCTTTGCACAATGACTGTACCTAGAAAATGCTCAGAAATGATAGCACTTGCTATCACCCCATCCTTCAGGAGCGATCATCACCACATCAAGAAGCAGTAATCTTCCAGCAAATCGAGACATCTGCCAGAGACAGCTGAGTCTGGGGTGCCTCAGGAGGAGCTGAAGTGAGACCCCAGCATTTGCAAGACTTCAGGCTAGGGATTCCCATATTTCAGGTAATGCCCTAGGACTGTGCCTATCTGGCCGGGAACGCTGCTGGCAATTTCACTGTTTCCCTGCTACACAGTCTGCTCCAGCTGCACCCTGATTTTGTTCACTGACTTTCTGCCTTCCAATCACTCACAGAGTCACCTTTGAGAACTAAGAGGCCAGAGGCTCGAGATTTGGGTCAGTTAGTAAAGCCCTTGCCACACAAGCATGAGAACCTGAGTTCTTATTCCAGGCACCATGGAAAGAGTTTGGCAGTTTCTGTAACCCCAGGGCTGAGAGACAGGGGATCCCTGTGGCTTGTGGTCAATCAGAGTAACCAATCAGTGAGTTCCAAGTTCAGCGAGAGACCCTGACTCAAAATAGAAGGTAGAGAGCGATAGAAGAAAACACCGATGCTGACCTCTGACCTTCACAAGATCAAACATCTACCTATACCTGGTGTCGGATAGAGATGGGGGAGGAAGAGAGGGGAGAGGAGGTCAAATCAGGTACAGAAGGACTGTCCTAAATATCAGTTTCAGACAGATCTTAACAGAGTCCAGCTCCTAGCTAGCCCTACTGGAAGGGGTCTGAGAAATGCTGAGAAGTAGGATTTCCTCCTTGCAGCAGCTGGGGCTTGCAGGGCTTCCCTCCTGGTGAGCCTACCCATGCTTCGCCCCCAGCAGCTCTGCTTCCTTGGCCTTGGGCTTGTGGCCCAGTTTCTGCTCCTTTGTGTCCACATCTGTACACCAGGACTTAGAGAGTACCTGTCGCCTACCGTCTTGGCAGGATTTCGTGAAATGAAACAGGTGGGGTGTTTAGGGGTAGGACACTGGTGCAGAGTAAGTTTCTACAGAACTTCGGAGTCATTGGCCGCCATCTTTCATAGAATGCATTAAAAAGAGTCGAGCTTCAACAGTTTTGAATGTCTGCTGACTCAAACCCTTTAGCAGGCTGGGCAAATGTGAGTAGGCTTGGCTCCTTTTCTCCTACTGTGGCTGACCACATTGGTACTGGACCTGAAGTTCCTTGGCTGCTCCAAGTTTAAGGGGAGCCAGAGCCGGATAGAGACTCATGGAGCTGTGGCTGGACTGTTTCTAGGAATTCTTCTCTGCAGCTGTACAGACAGTCCCGACTAGGTAACACACCTCAGTGGATGGGACCCAGGTTCACCACATTTGAAGTCCAGAATCCTGATGTGGGACTGGGAGGCCCTGTCATCTGACATGTACTATACCTCTTCCCTCTCCTTCTTTATGCTTGAATCACACCAGTCTTTTCACTCCCTGCAGCAAACCAAGCTGACTCCAACTGAAGGCTCCTGCATTGCTCTCTCCTCAGCCTGAAATGTGTCTTCTTCTTCTTTCCTCCCTCTCTGCCTGCTCTCTCTCTCTCTCTCTCTCTCTCTCTCTCTCTCTCTCTCTCTCTCGTTTCTTAAATGGGGCTTTGTTTTAGTAAAAGATGTGTTTAAGCATGAGGGTAAAAAGAAAAAGATTCATTCAGGAAAAAAGTTAGAGATACCCAAGTGCGTGGGTGTGGGATTCTCAAAATGGGCCAATTCCTCTTGTCTTTCTTGAGTATAATATTTAAATGAAGAATATGGCATAGATACCATTAATATTGGGGTCAATAGTTTAGAGGTAGTTTTATATTCATCTGTTTTTGAGGTAGGGTCTCACTCTTGAGGTCCAGACTAACTTGAACTTATGAACTCAAGCCACCCATAAACCTCAGTCTCCCAAGTTTCTAGGACCATAGCTATGCATGAGAGTTTGGATTTGTACAGGAGTTTTATTTTTGAAAGACATAGACATTTTGGCTTCTCGAAACCCTGGTTCACAGGTGGCATCACTCTGACATGTGACTGCCACCGGAGGATCCCCTCTCTCACAAGGATGCAGGCAGAGAACGCAGTGAGTCCCAGACTTGGGCGTTAGACTGGCTGACGCTTGAGTCCTGGCTCCTTCGCAGGTTTTCAGGCAAATTATGTAACAGGGCTGAGCTTCAATTTTATCATGTGCAAAATAGGGATAATAATATCTTCATCATAGGGTTGTAGGAATAAAATGAGATCTTGCATGCCAAATGCTTAGCACAGTGATCCTCATGGAGTAAGAACTCAACGGCAGCGGCTATTATTAGAATTAATTAAGCAGGGACCTTCAGAGGAAGTCAATCAGAGGGCTCTTTTTGGCTGGAGATAGATGGGTAAAATCCTACCACGTGAGCGCTTAGCCAAAGCAGAGTAGTTGATAGCCTTGCTGGGGGCACATACCTTCCCTTTCTTGCTATAGAGACCCTTTGAGAACTCATGGACTCGGATTACAAAGGCCTGGCCCAGCCTTGAGCTCAGGAGAGCAACTTGCAGAGATAGAGACTGGACCTTGCCATAGTCACCGTAGTCATCAACTCTCCAGACTCAGGGATCCCTGGTCAAAAGCCTGCATCCCAGAGGAATCTTCCCTTGGAGGAAGGGATGCGGGAGTTGAGACCAAGGTGCTGATGGGGAAGCTGAATGTACTGGGCCTGCCAGAGGAAGGAAACTTTGATGATACCTAGCCCCACAGCCCGTCCTTGTGTCTCTGTGAGTTACAAACCATAGAGAAAAGCAGAGCTCGGCTCACATCTATGGCCGACCCAGGTAGAGAGGAGACCTGTTACAGGGGGAGGTGCCCTTCAGGAAACACCAGGAAAGGGGCTTCTTTCTGCCGGCTCCCTGCTCCTCTTTGATCAGCCCTCATTCCCCTGTGGCTAACCTAACCTGTCTGGAATACTGTATTTTTTTTTCTACTTTTTTTCCTCACTCTATGACAGAATTCGCAATGGCCCATGGCCTTCTATGGTTTGACCAATCTTGTGAGGCCTCAGCTGTCTCACTTTTTTCAAGAGGAAAGAAGTGAACTGAAGGTTAGCGCTGATGCTCTGGAGTGATTCTGTTATTATTATTTTTTTTTTTACACAGCAAGGCCAAGTTCCTCTACCCTCCCATGGAGGCACCCCATCCTTGCTCACTTCTACCCCATAAACTGAAGCTCCAGCTCCTCCACTCCCTCCTGCCGTGGCCTCAAACATCCTCCTTGTACGTGGGATCTGTGCACTGTGTACTCTTGTATCCCTGCCTGAAGTGTCTGCTTTGACTAAAATAGAATGACTAAACATAGAGGCTTTAATATAAATAAATCTAATTTTGACTGTCTCCTTCACAACTCACTATCCGGGTAATCAAGAGCAAATCCCACTGATAAAATAGAAGCAATGATAACTCCAGGACTGGGAGCAGTAACTGAGATCCTGTGTGAGCTGGAAGGAGAACAGG